GGAGGCTTCGGGACTGGGAAACCTCGTGTAAACACACGGTCTCTGTTCCATAGCTGGGAACAGTCGCCGAGCTTGTGACGTGAACGTTATACGAAATTTGTGCGTTGTAAGGAACAGAAAAATTGGAAAGTTGCAAACCGAGAATCGAGGTTAAAGGGGGTAGAACTGCCCTTAAATATTTCAACCGTCCTCTGCAACCAAGAAAAATATCTCGCTCAAGTATTCTCCCGGTATTTTTCTTCAAGTTAAACTAGATAACTTCTTTTTTAGACAAGTTCTCATACTTCATGCACCTCCTTCGATTTCGTGAAAATTTCTTTTTCGTTATTTTCTTTTCTTTATGCTTGTAATGGAATAATTGATTCGAACGTTGCTGCAAGTTTAACCATGTGAAAATACGGTGGAATTAAATATCGTTAAAATTGGTAAACGTGACTGTAGGTTGGATTTTTCAAAAGATTGTTCAGTTATTTTCTACTTTATTCTTATAATGAAGTAATCGGCTCGAGCGGTTTAGCGAGTTCAACCATGTCAAAATGCAGGCGAATTAAATGTCCATAAAATACGTAAATGTGATTGTATTGTTACAACGATACCGATTTTCATCGATAATTTCAATGTCGCCGCGCTGCAGAGAATGATATTACTCGCGACATCGATCCCAATAAACACAGAAAGATGCTGGTCGATCGTTAAATATTAAATTTATGCCGTTGTACGCGTTATTAACAATATCATTTGCCCATTATCGTCTAAATCCACATTTTAAATTGATTGAACCCTCGATAGAATTATTACGTTACAAAGGGTGACAGAGATTGCTTGTTCAATTTATTTTCACAGAATAGTATTATCGGTGTTTTTACGAACGAAGGTAATTCCATTGTCGGATCGTGTATCAGGAATAGATACACAAATGAAAATAAATGCTGTTGTCGGTAGTTATTGAATTAAAAAGAAACTTGACTCTCGCGATAAATTAAGTATTTTATACATTTTGTTCGTTGCAATTTATTTTAAACGTTTTTAAATTTAGCTATAATCTCGATAATTATTTATAGACTGAAATATTACCAATATTACAATGATTTCCGGCAACAGTAATTGATTAATTAAAAGGGATTTTCACTTTTACGATAATTTAAATATTTTATACATTCCGTGCATTGCAGCTCAAAGTGACGCTCTTTTGAATTTAGCTGCAATTTTAATAACCGAATAACGGAAGAGAGACCTAGAAGTCTTTTTTGGTAATTCCTTTTTAATTAACCGCAATATATTCAGAAATCTTCCCTCCAAATTTCGTTTCAATGTTTCATCGATAAAGGTCAGAGCAGTACTTTTTGTTGATCTGTAGGTTCACTATTTTCTTCTATTAGCCTTCCTTTTTTTTCTTCTTCAGAAAACTCAATTATTAACAGGCATTTAAATAGTATGGATATTACCGATCGATCATTCACATTTACGTCCCCTACACACTCTAAACCCTAGAATACAGACTATTTCTATTTACACACGAGTTACAGAGCACAGAGTTTATTGGTACGTAGACTCTACGTGTTTGCACACGAAACAATTCTGATGGTCTGCCAGTTTGAAACTTAACTTGATCAATTTCTGATGCACCGATACTATACGGTGAGTAATGCCAAGAAATTGAACGATCCTCGGTTATTGGTTGCCGGACTCTTTTCAGGGTCCCTTTATCATAGTGAAACTAATGAAAACGTAGTATCCTCTTAAGAAGAAAATGAGTTTCATCCGAGAATTTCCCCTCCGTTCTCTCTCATTCCCGGAGTAAACCGCTATTTTCATTACACCACGTTTCCCTCGTTATCATTATTTTCACAAACAGCAACATTCAAAGCACACTTCCAACAGCCTCTATCTTACAACGCAGAAAACACTCGATCGAATTGAAAATAATATTTTATCGCAAAAAGGAATGTTATCGTTCGGATCGATGAGAATACGAAGAACCCAAAAACCGACGTTTCGCAGTTTATCATTCTTTCGTCGATTCGTCGAAGGATATAAAAGAGATATGGAACGCGTGCAGCAATGTTCATTGAAATTCACTACTTCGATAATACCACCGAAGGGCGTTTTAAATGAAATCCTCGGGAGAGAGAGAGAGAAGGTTGGTTGTGGTCTGTGAATTGTTCAGTGGCGTACGATTTACGAGCTTCACGCTTGCTTGACAGCGTAAGAACATCTTTCTTCGACGTCGACAAAAGGGCTTGATACATATATGCCGGACGCAACGGTCACGTCTATTGTGTCAATATTTGAATGGATAGACGATAAATAGATGAGAAAAAAGGAGGAGGAAGAAATCGTCGTGTGACTTCTCGCGGACAGCCACGCTTCCGTTTCTCTCCTTTTTTTTTTTCAAACAGTTTACCCACGATTTGTCAGCCATAAGGTTCCAACGCCTCAGCTCGGGCACACGAATTTTATGAGCGTGTTACGGCACCCTGCGCGCTAAGGGAATTTAAGAACACCGGTTTGCCCGGTTCGCGACGAATATGTTTTCCAATGTGCTCACTGGAAAAGAATTTTCCGCTCTTGCGACAGTGCCTTGCTAAATTTACCGCGGATGCGCAGTGAAATTACAGCACGAGCGTGAAATGAAATTTTCTGCGAACTGTGTTGAGAAAAACGTCTTGCGTTAACGTTGCGAGGAAAGATGGAGATTTTCGTGTACTTGGAATAACGAAGCTACTTAATTTTTGTTGGATTTAAAGATATGAAATATGGGTACATCAGAATTAGAATGGTTCCGAAGGATGCACATCGCCATCGCATTTTTTTCGGTATTTTCAACCTCACCAACGTTTTTTTAAATGGAATTCCCTATTCTTTTTACGGTAGTTTGAAAGCTTGTTAATTTCCAGGTGGAGAAGTATTAAACATTGTTTGTCCTAAAGCTAATAATTAACGAGATATAACAACGGTGGAGGATATGTAAGAACGAACTCGTGCAACATGTCACGCTTGCTTCGGGGACAATTCGTGACGATATGCGAATCGTATGGATCAAACTGTCGTTAATATCTCGTTAATTATTAGCTTTAGGAGAAAGAATGTTTAATACTTTTCCACTTGGAAATGAACGAGCTAATTCTGATGTACCCATATTTCGTATCTTTAAATCCAACAAAGATATTCATCAGGTGTTCTGCTTCTCGTGACTCACCCTGCAGAATCCTGTGGAAATTATTTTTATTTTATAAAGTTTCATTTGAAACCACGTTTCATATATGCATCAATTTGATAAATCAGCGATAATAGTATGCTGTTCAAAGTGCAATTTTAATCAATAGAGTCTTTTTTCCACTTTATACCTAATTAACTGTTAGATACAGGTTGAAAATATGAAATTATAGGTTGTTAATAGAGAAGATGGTCTAAATATGAAATAGCACTTTTATTTCAGGATTTATTATCAAACCTGTGGACGACCTTTGATTTACTATTACCGCCTCTATTTCAGGTTAAACATACCTAATCGAGGTTCAGAGCTGATTTCCTGTATAATTACACATAATTCGACGAATAAAACGGATCATTTTTCCCCGTTCGAGGTAGTTGGTATGTTTGATGACATTGCTATTCATTAACCAATTGCAGTAGAATCGCGTTTCCGGCTCGTATAAACTACACCCGGACTATATCAAAGCGACGTTCCTTAAATAATGGATATGTGACTCGCTACGCAATTCGGCGAAATGAATTATTGCGGCGTAATATCCGTCTCTATTCGTCGTCGCGGATTACGCGTTATTTAACGAGCGGCGCAGAAAAATGACTGAAACCTGTCCCAGGTTACGTATGAAACGTGGTTTGCATCCGAAATAGCGTTATCCTAGCCGCCCCCGGTTTGAATTGCACGTCTGCCACTTCAAACAAAAAATGTCCAAGCGGAAACAATCCGCCCGGAATTTATCGTAATTTCGCGAATGATTTTCATGCAATTTCGCGCACGTACGTCATGGGGGACCAATTGCAAATTGCTCGTCCGGTTCTTTCTTCCTTTTTTTCCCCCTCTGTTTTCGTTTCAAAAGCTGTCACGCGTTAACTGTGTATCAATGAACCGGTGGGAGGTGAATTTCGTGATTGCAAAGTGACCCTTGTTTCGAACAAGAAATTAATTTGTTGCTTTTACCTGTAGTAGTTATTTCGTCGATGAAATATCAACGCGTGTAGATAAAGTTTGTGAAACGAGTGTCGCTATAAATATTTCAACATTGAAAACGATACATGCGATTGAAATGTTTGAACACTTTCATTCCGTTCTAACAGGGTGTCCCGGCAAAATCTGGTACCACGGGAGAGATGAGCTTTTCGAGATTGAGCGTTCGTCGTTGATTAAAAATCCGATTTGAATCGGTATAAAATTGGGTGCAAATGATTTTAACATAAAGAATAAAATGTTTCTTCGTGTACGAACGAATCAAAAATGAGAAACGAAATTTGTTCGGATAATTCTTTATTATCCAACAGATGAACTTTGCAGATTTTAATTTGTAATTTATTTTGGGAGCACTAATACGGAGAATGATGAATAATAGAAAGTGATATTTTTAAACGTTAATAACTAAAACAAAAACGAATCTTCAAACGCAATTTTTGTAATCTCGATTTTCGCCTTATATCGCCTTCGAAACTAACCCCCGTGAATTTTGTCCCAGGAGTAACCGAACACCCCGTATATACGTGTATATTTATGTAGAATATCACGTTGTAGACGATGTCGTTCAAGAAAATTTTATTCCACATTTTCGATATTCTTTTCACGAAGAATCACACTCGGTTTACTCTAACTACATTCTGCAAGACAAACCCTGTACATGCCTTCCATTTTAGCGTTTGACGTTACATTGTGAAAAATGGCTCGTCTGTATTTTCGTACGCTGTGCTACTTTAAATACAATTTTAAAATGAAATACGATAAGATGTAGAGAAAAGTAGTTTAGCGTTGGAAAATATGTACTTACTTGTTTGCAAGACCGACGAAATTGTTTTGAGATTCGGATCGATGTAGACTCGAACCTCAAACCCAAGGTTCCTCAACGCTGACGCTAGCTCTGACGAATCCTTGTCCGCGTTCTTCCTTGTCGCCAGTTTCTTGAAATGGATGTGATTGAAAATGATCGCTACACCCCTTCGTTTGTGATTCATGTCGTATACTTCAGAATCCCGGTCGATCCTGCTCTTACCGTGCACCACTTCAGTAATTTTTTTGGTCTCATCTCTAGGAAGTAAAGAGAAACATTGTAGATCGGTTAATTTTCAACGACAAAATTAGTGGCTGGGTTACAGGAAGAGCAATGAATTGCGTTTAATACGAGATTGTTTTATTGGAATTTGTAGAAGTTTGTAATGTTAACTCTATCGAAAGAGATGACAAAATTACACAAATGAAATATGTATTAGTATAGGAATTTAAAGGTGAAACATGCAATGGATTCTGACAGTGTTAAAAGGAATGACTTCTCCTTGATGTATAATTTCTTTTCCTGATTGTGCATCTAAGCGTCAGCTGTTTGCTGTTTTAGTGTAACTTTCAGCTTTTTTCTTCAATTTAAAGAAAATTAACATGTGTCGTAAAAATGTGCCTGATTCCACAACAAGCATGTTTCATTTTTAACACTAGGTTTACGGACATTTCATATATGCCTATCTCTATGGACACGCGTGAATGAAATCGCAGATTTTCTTTAAAAAGCAACTTATTTTATTTAAAAACAAGATACTGTAGTATCGGGGCCCCATACACAAATAGGAAACCGACAAGTGGGAATAGAGAGGGAGTAGTTGGGTTAGTGCGTAAAGCCTCGGCTTGCTAAGCCGAAGGTCCCGGGTTCGATTCCCGGTTGGGTACATCAAAATTTTTCCGTCGGTTCCTACAATATTATACGCTATTAACTTATTAACCTTTTCGCTCCGAAGGGCGTATATATACGCCCTCGAAGAATGAACATTCATATACGAAGAGCGTATATATACGCTCTCGAAAAGTGGGCGCTCGGGTACGAAGAGCGTACATATACGTTCATACCATATATACTTTTGTTTCTTTTTTATTTTTGCGACAAAATTATCGTTTGCCAAATTTTATTTAAATCTTATAAGACAGATATTGGAAACATGGGAAAGAAAAATCAGATATGAAATGTACCTCAGTGTCGACTAGTCAGTAATGCGCTCCGTTCATAGCGATCATATTTTGTCACAAGCGCGCCGTAGCGAAAAGGTTAATGAATGATAATATGAACGGTAGGAGAAAAATGTAAACGGTTTCTGTAATTTTCTTAGTGAAATACGAAATGCGTCAAAATGGCGCGTCCCATAAATCCTAGTGTTAAATTACGAAGCCGTACAATGAGTTAGCCTAAAATTATATCATTGTTCCTCCAGTATATACTGAACATCACAAACGACCCAGTCCCGATTATACGAGATTCATATTACAGTGTAAATTTGTCGCTGCAGATTCGTTCTTTCGATTGAATCCGAGAGCTCGTCTAATATTGGACTCGTTACACGGTGAATTACAGTACATACACATAGACCAGTACGAAAAATCTCACCCTGTTTTACGATTGCTGTATACGAGAGAGATTTGCGATGCCGGCAATAACTTGCCGCGCATATATTTTTCCTTGTCGCGAAATTTCTCTGTTTCCGGACGTTGTCGATCGATAGAGACCGGTGGCGGGAAAATGGGGAAAAACCGAAACCGAAACGCCGTAACGAAAGGCGTGTATCCGCCGTTTCGTTGTCGACGTCGCGCGCTGACGGTTTTTATGCCGCTCGTAAAATTTTGAGCCTCAAAAAGGAGGGGCAGATAGAGGGAGGTTGGAGCAACTCGTTTGCTGGAACAACGCCATGCTCCACGGACCCGCGACAAATAACGTCTCCAGGAGACGAAGGTCGACGACAACTGTGGCTCGGACAGAAACTTTTCCACATTTATACGATCGCGGATCTAACATTTTAATTGCTTCAATGAAATGTAACCGTTTTCGGTTACCATGAATCTCTTCTTGCGTGGGTTTGAACGCAGGCGTCTATTACGGTTGAGTTTCAACGTAACTTAGCGTATTTTAACCCTCTATACGGAGTCTGCGAAACTCTTGAACTTCCAGTTAGTTTATACATAAATATGGAACATTTCTGACAACTTTTCTTACTGATTTACCTTTTTATACATTTTCCTAATGAATAGAGTGGTTGGTTGTATTAATTTCATTTTAATATAATAACGTTGAGTTCTAAATAGAATGGAAGAAAACAAAAAAGATAGAATGGACAGTAGAGGGTTAAATTACTATTTGAGCTTTGTCTTGTGGAAAGAATCTACCGAAAATAATTCTTAGCTGATAAATGTTTAAAATCAGGATTTATATATGTCATTTTATTACTCAAAAACATAAGAAATTTGTCAACTATGAAGTATGTTAGGTTGAGTCATACATTATCGCCAAAAATTTTCGTGCGAACGAAGAATACTCGAGCTGGAGCAATAGAGGTGTGAATGAAAAGTGTTTGGAACGAGAGCGTGAGGGTATCGTGTGAACGAAGAGTGCGTGACTGCCCAAAGGTTTGAGTTGGGCGTGATTGAATGCGTTTTGAGAATATCCACGTGGAATGCAGGAACTGGAGAAGTAGAGAATGAGCAGGTGAAAAAATAAAATAGTATGAATGAGACACGCGCGAGGTACGCGTGTCATAAAGAATGTCAGAGCGAGAGTTGTAGAGATAGCATTAAATTGGCTGTGACTATTATTTGAGCCGTTCAGTGCACAAATCGATTAACTCCATAAAATGAGAAGTCGAGAAATTATTATAAATATAAAAAGTTACGACTATACCAAGTGCTTTGACACTTAAATTTAAGATTTTTCAAAAAGTGGAGTTAATCGATTTGTGCACTGAACGGCTCATTTTTCAACGAACTACAGTCAGTCGTAATGTTGTATTCATCGATCCACTTACAGATGTAGAGCACATTATGTCCAGTGAAATATATTTAAATAGATTGCTTCATGGTGTCCAGTGGCCAGTGATTTTTCAGCAAGATTCAATTGCAAATTTCGAACGCGCAAGTATTTTTTTCCAAGAGCAAATTCAAATATTGTAGTATATTCGTTATTGTTACAAACATCGAATACCTGTCTCTAACCTAGCATTCCTACATAACTCTTCCTGGAAGCTTCAGCTTTGCTTGGTCGACCTGTACATCGCTCCAATAAAATGTTTCTAATCCTACGTCCCTTGACGTTTGAACCTGTCGTCACTGTGAAACCGAAAGAACCATCCGAAATTCTCCGTAACCGTTTGACGAACACTAGTCCACTTATAACAGGCTAAAGGGAAGCATTCGAGCCTTTAATTCTTCGGTTTCGTGGGCTGTCGTGGCCACGTTCCTCTCTCTCCTCGAATGGTGTGACAGCATATAATCCGTTACGAGGGCCTAGCACAAAGTGCATTACTCTGTTTCGTACTTTCCACTCACGTAGAGGTGGTCGGCCGCCGCAGACAGAAAATCTTGCTGGCTAGGTTGAGGAGACAGGTTTCGCCCGAGTGCGGAAATCCGCGAAATTATTCGACAGTAGATTTAATTTGAACTTAGAGATCACAATCCCGGGCTAAAGAACTTCTAATAACAGTTTGACCGTTTTATCGCGGACATCACGTAGCCTTCTCTGGCTCTCCCTGTAACCGCGAGTACGTGCGCTCGTTGAATTAGCCCGGGGAACTAGAGGAGAACCGAGCGCGATTAGCGTTATTTTCACGTAGTAAAAAGCAAGTAAAACGCCGTGATACTGCGTCAGCTTGGTTACAACGATCGCCACCAGTGAGAAGCTCGAGCAAATTTTTCTCGACTTGAGTATTTTTAAGGTGAAAGGCTTGTTTTGTTTTCGCTAGATTTTTATTTTTTAAGAATTTGCTTTTTATCTGCCGATCATTGTAACGGGTACTAAATTAAGATTCATTTTTGCTGGAGTACTCAAGTAATCACTGGTCACGAAAGGGTTAAGAGGATGTATTCAGTGGCTTCTTTTGTGACTTCTGTGTTTTTATTACGTTCACATTGTGCTGGATGAAGTATGGTAGAAGTATCAGTGGAATGTGATATTCTTCGATTAATTTTCTATTGAATATTGGCATCAGTAATAAGCATTAGGTATATCGAGTTTAATCAAGGCTTTTAATTTACAATTTAATATTATGATTATTCTGCATTTAATGCGTGGTGGATACGTACTGCAATTATAATTCGTGTAAGACTTCGTAATGCTTTTAATTAACACGATAAATATAATTTCTGAAATGTAAAGGTAAATAAAACTGTACTACACGTTAAGAGAAGAAACTTGATTTCAATTACGATGCGAACATTTCAACGCTTCCGAAAACTATGAACCCATTTCATTCATATTTCACAAGTCGTCAATTTCTTGTAAGTGCTAAATTTCGCCGTAACGAAAGCAAGATTGAAACTCGCCGAAGCAATTGCGACATAATAGCACAGCTGATAAAAATAAAGCATTTCCAGCGAGATGTATAAATCGATAATGATAACCGTTATCAGATGTCACTTTCTATTGTAAGTAGAACCGAGCAAGCCGTTTTGTTATTCAATTCGGTCGCGATTCTTTTCATTTCACGCGTTAGCTTCGCCAATTGTCAGCTATTTTATCGCGCGTGGGGCTCATTTCGTCGAAATTATGGTTGTCGCTGCTCCGATTAGCGACGCCGCGCTGCGTGAAATTCTGAGAAAGCAATTTTCAGGTGATAAAAAATTCAAAGATATCCAATTTCCATATTTTACAAAGTTATCGTGACTCACTCGCGCAGCACGCCCTGTTTATTAGCAACCACAGCCCAAAGAATTAACATGCCCCGTTAAACGCTTCGAAGTGAGCTTGCCTTTGAATAATTTGTAGACAGGCCGCTTTTGCCTGCGTGTACATATTATGCTGGCTATTCATCACGGCGTAATTCATGAAAGGGGAGTTACGTTTAAAATTAAATCGCCTATTAGGATGGTATTTCATTTTACTTTATGTCTCTCCTTTCTTGCGGAGGAACGAAGTTGCTTTGACTTACTTTAGTAAAATCCTGTTGCTTTCCTTCTTTTTATTTTTTCTTTTTTTTTTTTTACCGAAGAATCTAAGCTATTTAACCCTTTCGCGACAAACGGAATGCGTGTGTCCCACTAGAGTACTCGAACAAAAATTGATCTCTGTATAATATCCATTACAAATATAACGATCGGTAGATAAAGAAGAAATTCTTCAGAAAAATAATTCGGTCACGAAAGGGTTAAATAAAATTACGCGGTCTTTTTTCTGCTTTTATAATGTTACAGTTGAGATTCGCCTTTTTCAGATTATTCACACATACGTATAATTTATGATTTAGTGTATCAGGTTTTAACGTTTAACTGCAAGAAGCAGCTTTCCATTTAACGTTTCTCTTTCCTTCGTTCAATTACCAAGCTTGTTAAAACTGAAAATTTCTAATTGAAAAAAATAACCTCGTTTGAAGGGATTCGAACAGATTCAGCGAAACATAGGACGCTATTCTTGTTTGCATTACACGATTAAACTACACGTGTGTAACTTCCTGTTAACCTGATGAAACTGATTTGGTATTCTGTATCTATACTGCTGCTTATGTCATGCATAGTTACAGTCACGCTACTGTTCACGTTTGTCTCCCGAATATTGTTACCTCACTAGTCTATTCAATGCTCTGTATCGAATGAACCACGCTATTATGTACCACGTACTTAACATCGAACGACGAAGCACCGAAGAATAGCAGAACCGAGCGTTCTCAAAATTTTCACGACTTGCGCTGGGACGTAACGATCGAATCGATCGGTACAAACTTTAACAATTCTGAAAAAGTCGCTGGTAATAACCTCTGTATCGAGACACATCTGACGAAACGAAGGGAAACAAAGAAGAGCCAGCGGTGTGTTGTGAAAAGGAACGAGTAGGATGCAGAAGACAAAACGTTCCGAGATGATGCACGAGATCAAGCTTTTTAAATATATCCAGTGTGAAAGACTCTTCCCCCAAAAATTGAACGTAGAGAGGCACACTTTGACCGAAGTGTTACCGAACAGATTCATGCACACGGGTAGGAATAATGAGACCGGTGGACAAAGCCCGCAACGGAGTGCCTGCAAACTAGTCATAAATGCGCGTGGACCTGTCGCCCATTATCAGACAAACGTTCATTGGCAGAGAGAAACGAGTTACAGGTATTACAGCGGTCCGACGAGTTTCCTTTGAGCTCGGAAACACATTGCATCCTCTTTCTCTCTCTTACCACCTCTGTTCCGACATCACGAATATAAATCCCCGAACAACGATTATAACGATCGCGTCCAGTTGAAGTAAGAGGACTCTCGCTAAATTGCTACGGGGAATGAGGGACTGTGAATTTTGTTTTTAGTAGACATTGTTCCTCGTTGGACGACTAGAGCGGCGGTCGGTGTGCTGGTTAATGTAACTGGAGAATCGTCCGATTTAGAGATTTCGTGGTTCATTCTGGCGAGAGGATGACGCGAATTGGTGTATATAGTACCATTTATACTACCAGATGTAATCGGATCATTCCGGTGATCAAAATTTTTCATAGTTTCTTACAAATATTGGTGCGCGTTTAAACTTGAAATTTTTTAATGTAAACAAGTTACTTCCTATACACAGTCTCTCTTGTCCCAATATTACGAACGTGTGACTCGATCGATGATGGAAATTTTTAATGTAATCGGACAATTCTGGAGATGAAAATTTTTCAAACTGCAACAATTTTTCAAAATCGTACCATTCTCAGTTCGCTCGAAAAATGTACATTTTTCCGCGTTCATACTTTTGGCACAAGGAAGAGGATACGTTCTCATTAGAGCGAATTGATCCACGAAGAGAGTTTCAGAATTCAGAAAATATTAGGTCGAGTGATAAGTTATTGTTCATCTTCCGACGGCGTACATGTTTGGAGAAATAGAAGCGACACGAAATACTAAATGCGCCATAAAAGTCAATTTCTGTACATTTAGATAAACTTGGCGTGACGTGTAAGGTATGACACTATTTTAATATGATTGACGCGTGTTGTTTCATCCAGCATGCTCGCGGAGCCTTGCCTTATTTCACTTTTATTTATTCCAAGTTCTACAGAATTGTCTTAACAAGAAACAATGTAAAATTGCTAATAATAAGAACACGAAATTTCACAGTGACAGAATAAACAATTTACGAATTTTTATTATATTTAGATATATTTTGCCGCAGAGAAGTTCACGAACTTTTGATACTTACAATGTTGACCAATTTATTTCCACAAATTCTGATCTAATATTTTCGCAACAACGTCATCGAGTAGAATTGAAAAACGTGCGAATTTTCCGAAAATAATTCACAGGAATTAAGGCACAAGAAGCTAAATGAAACGTGTCTTTGGGGCTCGTCAAATTACAGTCACGCGTGAAATGTTCGTCCTTAATATTTCAGGCCACAGTTATGGGACACCCAGTGCGATACACAGCCGCGAACTAACGCGTACAATTAATTTCCGCATAGAAATGTTAATTCTCGTTCGGTAAATATGCATGCATATTTCGTGGACCGCGTGTGCGCTTCGCGTGCTTTCATACATGCAGTAATATAGAGCCGCACTGAATCAAGCGAAATTTTACGTTCGTCCGTTTATTGCGACTTTCACGTCGAGCAGAGTTTATCTGAAGTCATCTCTAAGATACATATATCTAATTCGTACACAAATGTTCCCGCTCGTTTGTCTAAGGCTGTGGTTAGTGTGGATGCGTATTCGAATGAAATATCTGAAAAGTGCAATGCATACACTCGTAAGAATCTGTATACAAAGTTGATTGTTTTGACGTATTGAGTTGGCCAGGATGTCAGTTCATTCGAATAACGCATTCATTGTAACAACAAAAGAGACAGTCACAGCCAGTGGAAGAAGAGAACTAAAATCGTCATGAACCAACTATGGGAACTACAGAGATGATACCTCTGCACACGTTTACATCCAATTTACTTATTACCCTATATATTAACCCTTTCACTACTGTCGGCGCCTGTAGGCGTTTGGAAAATTTGGCGGAATACAGTGTTCTTAGCGCTTATTTTGCTCACAGTGTCCTGTTGGCGCCTTTTCCTCCACTTTCACCGTAATTCAATCCTGAATTTTTGTTCTTTGCACACTTCCACCTTAATCTGATCAAATAAATCTTAAAAAAAAAAACGAGCAAAACAAAAGATTTTGCGGCCGCGATTGAAATCTGCCGTAGCGAAAGGGTTAAGGAGTAGATAGTAAATTTGCAGTATTGCTAATAAAAGAAAGAAAAACTCGTTACGAGCCTAATGGGTGAGAATACTTTTTCGCGATTCTTACAGATTCGAGCACTTTTTCTGCGCACAGTAGTATCGCTATTCCTACTAGTTTTCAGAACTGGCTCCGTGGAGTGAGCCGCTGACGCTGGTGTATAGTTGGTGGAAGGGATATAGCGAAGTCGAAAATCACCTCGTTAATAGGTCATACACGTTTCTCGGTACGAAAAAGTGGTCAGTGTTCGTCACAAGTGTTTCGATCAAAAGACGTGGATCCTTGGACAGTCTACGCTTCTAGCTACCAAACGTCGACTGTGATTGGTTTATAGACCCACATCTACCTTCTTTTATCTGTTTTTAATGGAAGAGCCGATCGAGATCCTTGTCTCGATCAGCTGACGTTTCGACGATCGTATTTCATGTTGTTTCTCTTCTAATTTCATGACCTCACTATAACTCTTCCACCAACTATACACTGTAACCAATCATACCCGGATTCACTTGTCGTTTATCGTATAACGTAAAGGAACTTTTCATTTCTGCACAGAACGAACTTCCCCGTCGAAAATTCACTGTTAACGCGTTCATCGTTGACTCGAATAGTTATCGTGTCACCCAGGAAACGTTCACAGATGTCGATCGATTCCGTAAAGAAATGGTAAAACGTTCACTTACTTTGGCTTTCTCGACATCCAACCGTCAATGTCGTCATCGAACACCATGCTTCGCGTAACACTACGTTTGTCACATTTCGATTCACGTAGAGGAGACTTTGTTTCGTCCATCTTGATTTACACGTTCGTCGTCCGTGGTCACTGGAAAATGGAAAAGATAAAGTACAGCTTTATACGACGACTATCTTATCGGTACTCAATAAACGATGCGTCAAATGATAAAATATCAGGGATTTTAGGTAATTCAACGTATCTATCGCTCGTGAAATAGGTAGGCTCGAATCGCGTGTTTAAAATACTGTGTGTTATTGTTGGACGATTTGCGTTTCTTCGCTTGGATATCTTGTTTTCGATCGTAAATCACGAGAGTATTTTGAAAAGTTAGCAATGGAGCAGAGAAATTTATTAGAAGAACGATTGAAAAGTTAGCAAACTGGTGGAAGACTAAATAAATTCCTTTATTTCCTGATAGGTTTAAATTGAACATTTTCTTTCTGTGTTTCGTTGAAATGTAATTGTTCCAATTTTGCTTGAATCTATTCTTTTTATTTTTCTGGCTTCGTTTGAAGTCGATGACAAAGGCTAATGGTAGAAAATGGTAAATAATAGAAATTTAGCCGGTGTTTAAACTGTATTTCGAGAAAATGATACTTTTTATATTCTGCAACATTTGTCTTAAAATTCTTAACACGATGTTGAAACGACGTTTCAGTTATTACTATAACTTTTTTCGTATAAAGTTTTGTTCGTAAAGAAGTCAATTTTATAAACGTATCACGTACATTTTTATCGTATGATTTCATTATTGATTATTTTTATTCATATTAGTGTTTATAGTAAAGATCGAGCAAGCAAAGAGAAGGCTTCCAGCTTGCCTCTCTCAACAAACAGGCCGTAAGAATCATCCACTACTCTAACGTTGCACACTATTTCCGCTGGAGGTCTCGAAGTTCCCGTATAGGTGTACAAACGGTTTTTTATCAGTCGTTAATAAAGCAGCACGCTGATAAAGCAACGTAGAAAGTTAGAAAATTATCTGGCCGCTTTGCCGTTTTACCGGTGCCGTTAAGACAAACATTTAATAGCACTTAAGACGTTAATTTCGGAATGGCTCACGTATAATAAACTTATTGTAAAGGAAAAAGTGAAAATAGAACAGTTTTTTCTTATGCCTCAATAGTAAAAAGAGTTTGTTGCGCATTGAAAAATTGTTTATAAATTTCTGAGCCTCGAATATCGGTATACGTATGTAAATACGTGGCTCATGTGTCACGAAATTCTCACGCTAGGCTCGATCGTCGCCAGTCATTGTTCATGGAAGAGTAAGTTCGATAGCCTTACTCTATCGATATTGTCTGATTAACAACGGAGACTTCACAATATCTTTTCCATCTCCCACTCAATGACCCTATCTCCCGCCAGAAGCCTCATCATTGCTGTATTTCTATTCTCTAGGTCAGGGTTAACGAACTTCTTTTCTACCAGAAATTGCACCATCCCTACCATCGTTAGTCTGTGTATCGCGAATGTCTTGAATTTCACTATCGTCCACAGTCTTATCGTCAATTTATCAATTCACCTACCGATCACCTGTCGAATCGATCGATGCACGGTCATTTCTGCTTATCGTTGAGAGAAACACTCTCTTCTATAAAATTAAATTAGCTGAATTTCATTAGTTTGGCGCAACATCGTCGCAAGGTACATATTGGTATACCATGGTCTGCATGATATTCGAATAATAAGAAAATCGCCGGATTTTAGCGATATTTTAGACCCAGTTTCAGGTTTCTGTATTCCAACCCAGAAATCTCTTACACCTTTCTGTCTCATAACGTGACCAACAATGAAAGGTCAGTTATCGTAACGCACAGTACGCTCGACAAATGTTTGAAATAATTTCTGAGAACCTGTGAAATGGTAGCTCGTGTCGATTGCAAAATATGTGTGAACTTGCATCACGTCGATAAGACCTGTATTCCTTTCAGCGTGACAGATAAACGTTCTGCGATTTACACTTTTGCGTTATACATGCTCAGTTCGAAAAGTAATCACAAGAGTTACATGACAATATTTCAAATTGAAACTGAATCAACTTGCAGTAGAATCGAGGCGTGTCACGATTATTTTGACCTAGATAAATTACAAGTCATTCAGATTGCATAATAGATTAATAAGAACGATATTGGATTATTTAACGTGGCTTAAATATAGAATGTTGGGATTATCTTAATGCAGGTCAATGATAGAGTGTCATTAACACGTATTAATCCTAGAGCACCGAAAATGATTCTTAAGAAAAAGGCAGGGCTACGTTAACGCCAATTTTCTCTAATAATTTCCTCTATTCCAGCACCCCGAGGTTTCTAAAAATAGGTAAAAGTTTGGACATTTTTTTCACAGGTAACTACTAATTTTGTAACATTTTTATTTTTTGAAAAATTCGAGAACGAGAGTGAAACTTACATTTACATCCCCTGAGAAGGTTGAAACTTTTCATTCGGTAGATAGTTAGCCATAAAAAGAATTCCCAAACTTTACTTATTTTTAGACCGCTCTGGCTGGTATGTGTCCCTTTAATAGCGATATAAGACGAATGAAATTAGAGTGGATAACTTTTTCGCGAAAATGAAACTTTTTCCCAGTGCTCTGACACGAGAAGCATCGATCGGGGATTTTACTATTTCACGGATTACACGCTTTAATCCCGACAAACTGTCTCAATCTTTCGGAATGCACGCGCGTTCGAGAATCGGCAAATCGAATGTTTTTCACGATCGCGAGCGTTTTACGAGCAGTAACCCTTCTCTGCATGGCACGGCCAATGTCGCGAACTGATTAAAGTACCTCTTCCACTTTCGGTTTGTTCCCAGACTTACAACATGGACGCCCAAGTCGGAGAGTCTTCGGCATGTGCGACGGCGTTACTCTGCGGAGTTAAAGCCAATTACGAGACCGTTGGCCTGGACTCCTCTGCACGCTTTGAGAACTGTTATTCCAGTTTTGGGGCCCATGTACCGTCCCTTATCAATTGGGCGCAGGAGCAGGGTGAGTAAATACGCGAACGTCAACAACTAATGCAAAGGATTATGCGCAATCGCTTTCCGTTCGCTCCGATCAATTGGAACTTAATTGCCAGCGTTGCTCGATTGGTAATTAACGCTTCACACAGCCTGTTGCACTTTTTTCTCATTTTATAATCTTGCAAGTTTCCACGAGTTTTTGATTTGAAACGTTTTAACGTGTATAAAGAGCGAAGGCTTTTTTATTGAAATGAACTGTTTAAAAAAAGTATTACAGTTAGAGGATCTATGAATGTTTCATATCAAGGGAGTTTGGATTCGTTTAGTATTCGATCACATTGTTAATCGTATCAACTTTTATCGCGTTTTATTTCTCTTCTTAATATTTCCCTTTATTCTATACTGTAATGTTGCGTTTTAGCGTACCTCATACAAAGAGCATTGTTTTTTCCATTCTAAGTAATAACATTTGTCATTAAATCTAATCCGGATATGATTCACAACGAGTGCAGATTAATGCTGTAAAACATTGTCTTGCTATTCTTATCACGGAATTCTTATCTTATCTCTTGAAAGACGTATGGCGGTTGGTTGTGGAGGGAGGAAATAAATGGAGAGAAGATAGGAAAAGAAACACGCGTTTCATTCTGAGTCTTCGTTCAAAACCTGTGCTTCAGACACGGAATGAGTTAGACTCAGGTTAGAAGTACACAAGTACAAGGTGTGAGAAATTCACGAAACTTCGTCCACGTGTTGGGCAAGTCATAACGAACAGAAAATGTCCTATACATTATAGGTCTAATTTGTTTCGTTTTGTTTAGAATGACATGGTGAACGCGTAATGGGAGGACTAGCGAGAAAGGTTAATGCTAGCTCGTCCCTCTGGCGGTGAAATGTAGGAGGTATATATGTACTTGGACATTGGAAACAATGATCATACGTAATTGAAATTATTAATAAATCGATGTATCGGATGGTTAAATCATTAGAGCCACGGTACAGAAAATATGTTCTTTGTGTTTTTGTAGTAATAAAATCACAATGTCAAGGTTTTCACACTGGATAATTTTTAATTAACAATTTTTCACTAAAGATGCACGAAACGGTTAAACTTAGCTTATGTAGTTATGAAAAATACAGTTAAAAAGTGAGAGTAGAGTCAGTATTTGCTGCAATTACCGCCTTGATTACTTTCGCCATACTTCCCATATATTTTAAATAATTTACCATACATTATAAGTAGTAAAAACAAAGCTGAAAATTAAAATGCTCAAGATCTGTGAACCAACAAAACTTTAACACACGGTTGTCAAGTGGCGACTGACAGTACTGATACAAAATAACGTCCATATGACAGATAATGTTGCCTAAAGTGTTGCCAAATGTATATTTGCAATTTGCAAACATCAATGCTTGGTAAAAAGAAATAACAAGAATTCAGTGTAACTAGGGTTTTATCTAAGAATTCATCGTTATAACGTAAAATCGTCAATTCTTTGCAGTTGGCCCTAACAATTTGATCACTAAAATCCAAATTCGTATACGAGTCACTCAGAAGTCAAAGTGCCCAACTCCATAAAAAATAAAATTTATTCAATTTGTTTTATTTGTAAAAAATTAAGCACCAAGCATGTGTTTTAATACTAAAATTGGAAGAAAATCATAAAGAGGAGTTAATCAGTTTAGCTCGTATGATCGAAGGAATAGGAAAAACAGAAGATCATCGATGTATCGTTAGCTTATTGTCGGTTGTTTCTGCTGAAAAATCAAACGATACATTTCGCGCAGCCGAGCTACGGTCGAATTAACGAGGACACGCTGTATCGTTGTTTCATTACACCGTCGATGAAACAACGCCGTAAAGTTAAATCACTGCTGGCAACGCGTAATGTTATTCGAGCGTACGGGATTCTGCGAGGTGAGTTATAGCTGAAACGAGAACAAGTAGAGGCTAATGGTTAACGTTTATACGTTTCTTTATTTATCACGATTTTACGACACCAAAATAGAATAATACTCTTGTAAAAACGAGGCTCGGATTTCAGTGCCTAAATTGTTCACGATTGGCAATCTGTGTGAACTCGTGGGGTACTTCGCGAGAATAATTTCAAACCGTGTATATTTGCAAATCAGACGTAAATTGAACAATTTCTCCGTCTGCAATTCTGAGAAATGAACGGCTCGCCGTTGAATTAAAATTTGGTCGAGATTTTGATATACGGCATAATTCTATTACCGCATAATTTACTCCAAACACGTGAAATTTTTAATTACCCGGAAGCGTCTGGTTATAGAATTTTTCTGTCGCGAAAATGAAGCATCGAGGTTAAGTAACAACATTGTTCACTGAAAAAATGCAAATGTGTGCCAATGGCTTTTGCATCCACGGTGATTAGAGGATATAACGCTGTTATAATTGTTACTCGCACTTTCGCGAAATTTTGCCGTTATTAGAGGTGATTTTCCAAGTGTTACGTTTTTGCGTATTCACGCGAAAGACGTAGGAATTACAGCGCTAATGCGAATTTCAACAATGTTATCGCTACGGTAGCGCTCGATCCTAAAATTCGAACGTTACTTTTCCACGTGACTGTGAGCGGTCAGATTATACCGTAATGAGAAACGAACTTCCTCGCATAAATTTGATACCCGCGCGATGTAGACTTTCAGGTAACAGTGACATCGCCGCGAATTTCAGCGTTACCAGCGCGCACCGGCTGTTTTTCAATTAGAAAAAAGCTCGGGGAATGCTTATGTAGTGTGCTGGACGTGTTCGAAATCGCGAATAAAATACCAGCTACATTTATTCGCGAGTAACGGAAACTCGATCGTATGAAGGGAGAGAAAAAAAAAATGGAGGGATACGAAACAATTTCATTAACAACGCGTATTTTCCTCGCATATCCGAACACCTATCTAACTTTCGTATCAAATTCCGATAACACTGGAAATGAAAATAATTTCGAATCAAGATGA